ATTGTGGCCCCGCCCAACCCCCGGGGCATGATTTGAACAATTTAGAATCTACACAATCCCAGGATGCTTTCACATAAGATTCAGCTTTTCTGGCCCAGTGGTTCTTGAGAAGAAGATTTTTAAATGACCCCACTCTATTTTTGTCTTATCTCCCCTTGTGAGGGGACCTAGCCCTTCATTTTAACAATTTAAATTCCCCTTTACCCAAGGATGCTTTTTTCTAGGTTTGGTTAAAATTGACCCAGTGGTTCTTGAGAAGAAGTCGAAAATGTGAAAAGTTTACAGACGGACGGACAAAATCTGATCAGAAAAGCTCACTTGAGCCTTCGGCTCAGGTGAGCTAAAAATACGGCCAAGGTTTATTTTTTACGGACAAACAGAAAAACAAACAGATGGACCAAAAACTATATGCCGCTATGCTGTCGAATACAGGGGCATTTGAAATAAATTGTTTAAATGAGATATTATTCATACTCAGTGTTTAGATGGTAATTGGCTGGACTCCTGGGCAAATCAAGATCGAGAAAGGCTTATAAGAAATTTACACAAATATAAAATAATGTTTGACTTACTTTTTCTTTGAACTTTTGGAAACAATGGCGTACACCAATTTATTATCTGTGCATCTTAAAGCTTCCGTCAAGTTATGAAAAAACTCTTGAATCCCGGCTTCAGTTAAAATTCCTCGAAACATAAGAGTTGAAAAAAAATCACTTCCATTCTCTTCCTTACAATAATTCTCACACAAATATTGACAACAAGGGTATACATCAACCCTATTCCGCATTGCCTGTGAAATCTTATCCTTACATTTCAAATCAACATCATTCCAACATGATTCATGTGATCCATGTTTGTTGTCTCTGCAAAATATCTCACAATTTGGACCGAAATAATTCTTGTCACAAATGAATGTGCCGTTTTCCAAACAACTTCCATTTGGCCTGCTTCTATTACAAGATATCTCACAATTTGGACCAAAATAATTCTTGTCACAAATGAATGTGCCGTTTTCCAAACAAGTTCCATTTGGTCTGCTTCTATTACAAAATATCTCACAATATGGACCAAAATAATTCTTGTCACAAATGAATGTGCCATTTTCCAAACAAGTTCCATTCGGCTTGTTCATATTACAAAATATCCACAATTTGGACCGAAGTAATTCTTGTCACAAATGAATGTGCCGTTTTCCAAACAAGTTCCATTTGGCTTGTTCCTATCACAAAATATCTCACAATTTTCACCAAAATAATTCTTGTCACAAATGAATGTGCCGTTTTTACTACATGATCCATTAGGCCTGCTTCTATTACAAAATATCTCACAATTTGGACCAAAATAATTCTTGTCACAAATGAATGTGCCGTTTTCCAGACAACTTCCATTCGGCTTGTTCCTATCACAAATTATCTCACAGTTTTCACCAAAATAATTCTTGTCACAAATGAATGTGCCGTTTTTACTACATGTTCCATTAGGCCTGCTTCTATTACAAAATATCTCACAATTTGGACCAAAATAATTTTGTCACAAATGAATGTGCCGTTTTCCAAACAACTTCCATTTGGCCTGCTTCTAATATCTCACAATTTGGACCAAAATAATTTTTGTCACAAATGAATGTGCCGTTTTCCAAACAAGTTCCATTTGGTCTGCTTCTATTACAAAATATCTCACAATTTGGACCAAAATAATTCTTGTCACAAATGAATGTGCCATTTTCCAAACAAGTTCCATTTGGCTTGTTCATATTACAAAATATCTCACAATTTGGACCGAAGTAATTCTTGTCACAAATGAATGTGCCGTTTTCCAAACAACTTCCATTTGGCTTGTTCCTATCACAAAATATCTCACAATTTTCACCAAAATAATTCTTGTCACAAATTAATGTGCCGTTTTCCAAACAAGTTCCATTCGGCTTGTTCCTATCACAAAATATCTCACAATGTTCACCAAAATAATTCTTGTCACAAATGAATGTGCCGTTTTCCAAACAACTTCCATTCGGCTTGTTCCTATCACAAAATATCTCACAATGTTCACCAAAATAATTCTTGTCACAAATGAATGTGCCGTTTTCTAAACAAGTTCCATTTGGCTTGTTCCTATCACAAAATATCTCACAATGTTCACCAAAATAATTCTTGTCACAAATGAATGTGCCGTTTTCTAAACAAGTTCCATTTGGCTTGTTCCTATCACAAAATATCTCACAATGTTCACCAAAATAATTCTTGTCACAAATGAATGTGCCGTTTTCTAAACAACTTCCATTCGGCTTGTTCCTATCACAAAATATCTCACAATTTTCACCAAAATAATTCTTGTCACAAATGAATGTGCCGTTTTTACTACATGATCCATTAGGCCTGCTTCTATTACAAAATATCTCACAATTTGGACCAAAATAATTCTTGTCACAAATGATTGTGCCGTTTTCCAAACAAGTTCCATTCGGCTTGTTCCTATCACAAAATATTTCACAATTTTCACCAAAATATTTCTTGTCACAAATGAATGTGCCGTTTTCCAAACAGGTTCCATTTGGCCTGCTTCTATTACAAAATATCTCACAATTTGGACCAAAATAATTCTTGTCACAAATGAATGTGCCATTTTCCAAACAAGTTCCATTCGGCTTGTTCATATTACAAAATATCTCACAGTTTTCACCAAAATAATTCTTGTCACAAATGAATGTGCCGTTTTTACTACATGTTCCATTAGGCCTGCTTCTATTACAAAATATCTCACAATTTGGACCAAAATAATTCTTGTCACAAATGAATGTGCCGTTTTCCAAACAACTTCCATTTGGCCTGCTTCTATTACAAAATATCTCACAATTTGGACCAAAATAATTTTTGTCACAAATGAATGTGCCGTTTTCCAAACAAGTTCCATTTGGCCTGCTTCTATTACAAAATATCTCACAATTTGGACCAAAATAATTCTTGTCACAAATGAATGTGCCATTTTCCAAACAAGTTCCATTCGGCTTGTTCATATTACAAAATATCTCACAATTTGGACCGAAGTAATTCTTGTCACAAATGAATGTGCCGTTTTCCAAACAACTTCCATTTGGCTTGTTCCTATCACAAAATATCTCACAATTTTCACCAAAATAATTCTTGTCACAAATTAATGTGCCGTTTTCCAAACAAGTTCCATTCGGCTTGTTCCTATCACAAAATATCTCACAATGTTCACCAAAATAATTCTTGTCACAAATGAATGTGCCGTTTTCCAAACAACTTCCATTCGGCTTGTTCCTATCACAAAATATCTCACAATGTTCACCAAAATAATTCTTGTCACAAATGAATGTGCCGTTTTCTAAACAAGTTCCATTTGGCTTGTTCCTATCACAAAATATCTCACAATGTTCACCAAAATAATTCTTGTCACAAATGAATGTGCCGTTTTCTAAACAAGTTCCATTTGGCTTGTTCCTATCACAAAATATCTCACAATGTTCACCAAAATAATTCTTGTCACAAATGAATGTGCCGTTTTCTAAACAACTTCCATTCGGCTTGTTCCTATCACAAAATATCTCACAATTTTCACCAAAATAATTCTTGTCACAAATGAATGTGCCGTTTTTACTACATGATCCATTAGGCCTGCTTCTATTACAAAATATCTCACAATTTGGACCAAAATAATTCTTGTCACAAATGATTGTGCCGTTTTCCAAACAAGTTCCATTCGGCTTGTTCCTATCACAAAATATTTCACAATTTTCACCAAAATATTTCTTGTCACAAATGAATGTGCCGTTTTCCAAACAAGTTCCATTTGGCCTGCTTCTAATTTCATTTAATTCAATTCTAGTTCCATTTGGCTTGTTCATATTACAAAATATCTCACAATTTGGACCAAAATAATTCTTGTCACAAATGAATGTGCCATTTTCCAAACAAGTTCCATTCGGCTTGTTCATATTACAAAATATCTCACAATTTGGACCGAAGTAATTCTTGTCACAAATGAATGTGCCGTTTTCCAAACAAGTTCCATTCGGCTTGTTCCTATCACAAAATATCTCACAATGTTCACCAAAATAATTCTTGTCACAAATGAATGTGCCGTTTTCTAAGCAAGTTCCATTCGGCTTGTTCCTATCACAAAATATCTCACAATTTTCACCAAAATAATTCTTGTCACAAATGAATGTGCCGTTTTTACTACATGATCCATTAGGCCTGCTTCTATTACAAAATATCTCACAATTTGGACCAAAATAATTCTTGTCACAAATGAATGTGCCGTTTTCCAAACAAGTTCCATTCGGCTTGTTCCTATCACAAATTATCTCACAGTTTTCACCAAAATAATTCTTGTCACAAATGAATGTGCCGTTTTTACTACATGTTCCATTAGGCCTGCTTCTATTACAAAATATCTCACAATTTGGACCAAAATAATTCTTGTCACAAATGAATGTGCCGTTTTCCAAACAAGTTCCATTCGGCTTGTTCCTATCACAAAATATCTCACAGTTTTCACCAAAATAATTCTTGTCACAAATGAATGTGCCGTTTTCCAAACAAGTTCCATTCGGCTTGTTCCTATCACAAAATATCTCACAGTTTTCACCAAAATAATTCTTGTCACAAATGAATGTGCCGTTTTCCAAACAACTTCCATTCGGCTTGTTCCTATCACAAAATATCTCACAATTTGGACCGAAATAATTCTTGTCACAAATGAATGTGCCGTTTTCCGAACAAGTTCCATTCGGCCTGCTTGAGTTACAAATTATTTTACAATTTTCACCATAATGGTTAGTTTTACACTTATTTATACCTTGATCGCAAATGGACTCCTTGTATAGAGGAATGCAGTCGTAGAATAAGCGGTACGTAATATTAAAGCTGTAAAATTAGAAAAAATAACAAATAGTATTTTTTTTTTGTCAAGGGAATCGTAGATAGTATTTCTTATGAAATATCAAGAACAAAGATTTTACTAGATTGTATCCTTTTTCCTCTGCAACGGAAGAGTATCTGGCCTGAATTCTGCGTTTCTAGTAGGAGCAACATCGTGAAGACGAAATATTTGCCCAATTACAGTTGTGCTGTTCGTTTTCAAATAAATAGCACAAGAAGAGTTTTGCTTGAAAAAAAGAGATACTGATTTACTATGCAATAAATGGCACATGAAGAGTTTTGCTTGAAAAACAAACAACAAAAAAGTACTGATTTACTATGCACCCTCCGACATCCCGCATTAAAAGAAATGCAGAGAGGATGGTATACATAGGTTTGTTGTATTTTTTTTTTAAGAAAAAAAAACTGTAAATTAATTCACTGGACTCCATATGAAGATAAAAAAATGTTTGATTGTGATGAAACAACAACATTAAGGGCGAAAGAATACGATTTGTCCTCTTTGATACAATATATATACATACATACATATATATAGATAGATAGATAGATAGATAGATAGATAGATAGATAGATAGATAGATAGATAGATAGATAGATAGATAGATAGATAGATAGATGATACTCACAAAACTGTTAAAGTCTGGATAGTAGAAGCTCATCGTGTTATTGGTAAATCCCAGCATGCTCAGGTCAGGTGTCTGGTGAAGCGTGACGGGCGAATACGTCATTTCGTGGAACATGACATTAAGGTAGCTTAAAGCAAGATAAAAAATATGATCACTGGATCCTTTAAAGAAAGTCTGCTGTGGTAACAAAACAGATAAAACAATTACACAGAATTCTGAATTAAAGTGAAAAAATACACTTCTTTAAATTGCAAGAATAAATTCACATTATGAGCATGCACTTTTGATTTAAAATTAAACCTGTCATATGTAAAAATGTCATTATGTAAGACACGTATAAGGTAAAGTATCTACATGGTGCATTTTTTTTTACATATTTCAAAACGAATTGGGGAAATTCAGTTTACTTTTGACTTCCTGCGCGTGAGAATGGATATGGGTGGGCCAGTGTTTTTCGAGTATTGTTATTTTAAATAATTTTAAGTGACAATAATAATTTTTGAGTTTGTGAGTATAGAGTACCATATATGCATGTTCGTCTGTCGTACATGTTCAAACAAGTCAAATGAAAGAAGTCAAATTAAAAAAAAAAATAAAATAATTTCAAGAGTACATTACCTTTGGTGAATAGTAAGGTCATATATAACGTTCAATGCATTTTCTGGAATATGTGTTTTTACTAATTGAATTTCAAAAAAGACTCCACCGGGTTTCCTCTGACATGTAAGGTTACCGTCTGTACTGCAATTACAGTTCTCAAATTAGAGGAATTGCAGTAACGCTGACAACGATCACCATAGTAACCTGGCGCACAAACTACGTGACCATATTCGTTACAAATTTGGTTTTGACCAGAATGACAGTCATAGTAAACCTGAATTACAGCGTCAACCCTACAAAAAAGTTATTACGGTGAAAATGTATTCAGTAAGAATATGTTGCTTTTGCTGGAAAATATGATGTTTTAATAATTATAATTTATTCAAATAATTGAAAAAGATACATACCATAAACTTGTTCTGTTGCTTTTAAGCCTTATTGTATGATTAGATGCTGGAGGTTTAGTACTAGACACTTTTTCTAGTTTTAAAATCTGTGTGTAATTTTCATGCTTATTACAGCTCACATTGAAATTTACTTGGGGTTTATTCTACAATAAATATAGTGGTCGACGTCTGTGAAAGTAGAAATTGCAGAATTGCACACAGTTATTTGTGTTTCAAATCCCATTTAATTTATAATACAGTACTCACATGTGAATCACTATCCGGAAAATAAAACTTCATCGTACTCCCTTCCGTATTGTGGTCTCCTAGCAAAGTTTCCAAACTATTAAGTTCTGTTCGACAAAATCCAACATTTTCATAACTAAAAGGAGAAAATGATAGTCAAAGTCATTAATTAATAATTTGTTTTTTGTCTTTTCTTTGCGCGTTATTTTTTTACTGCTTGTTCTTCTAGTCAAGAGCAAAAGTGTATTCAATGAAATGTTCAAACTCTTTTTATGATATTCTATATTTAATGGAAACGCTACCATCTTCCTAAAGTTGCTAATTCAAAAAAAAAAAACATATTCACCACCAAAGTCTGAATAATTGATATTAAGAACGTTGAAAACAAGGTTAGAATTATTTATAGACGAGAGATCAAAATTAGACAAAATTAGAATAAGTGTTATGACTTATGAATATGTCTGGGACGGAGGGTTAAGGTTTTACTAACACTAAAAATATTTGATACAAAGTTGTTTTTACTTTTTATGTATTTTATATTTAAGTTTATTTCTTTGTCTTTATATAATTTGAAAAGAAGATTCCTTCTTTATTTCCAAGGGCTTTTGCATATACATTGTATTTTAAAAGTGAGAATATTGAGAATTTGATATAAAAGTTTTTTTAGAGTATTACAATACAAATACTGGTAATTAACAAAATAAATTGCAATTTTTTTTTTTACATAGTCGAACCTGATAAAATCATTGTTTGTCCTTAACTGATTTTGGTCAAGAGTTTGACTTCTATGGTCAATTTCAATAGAATTCAATTTTAATATTATGTTCTTTAGCTCAATATTACGAGAACAGTTAAATACTAATGTGGCAGTTTTATCATTTCAGGGGTGTATGGAATAAAAATGTTGTTTTTTTTTCGTATATGACTCTTTAACAATAAAAAGCAAATTTTAATAGGTTTAAAACAAATACTGAAACTGACTTACGTTTGACTGAAAGAAATAGAACAACTGCTGTTGAGATTTGATTTCTTCACATTCATTTCTAAGAAGATTCCGAGAGACTTTCCCTCACACTTCAACATTGTATTGTTCCTTATGCACGTACAGCTACTGAACATGCTGGCGTTGCAGTAGGCTGAGCACACATCAATATAAGGACTGACTCCAGACAACGATTGTAGGATTAACAGCTGAAAGGTACAAAATATGTGTACATTTGACATGAATAATCGTATATATATCTCGTATATTGATACCTCCACTTAAAATTTGAATACTTTGGGCCATAATTAAAATATTTTTGTTTGATGTACTTAGACCCATATTTTTTAAGGTGAGTAGGTAGGAAGGAAAATATTTTTTTTTCTTTTTGCTTTACGGTATTGCACAAAATGATACCTGTCATGAAAATCACAGTCTCAGAAATTTATTCATGCTTTCATTACATACCAGATAGCTTTACAGATTTGATATTTTTTTTTTTTTAAATTACATCCTTGAAAAATTATACTGTGAAAACTTAATAAAAAAAATTTCAGATTCAAAATGCTAAAAAAAAAATGATTGGGTATAGGGATAATTTTGACCAGTCGGTCGGAGTACAGCAAATAGATTAATTTTTTTTTATTCTTACCCCGATGTTCGTAAGCATTTTCATATTCAATGAAAGTAAAACAGGTACCGAAGTTAGAAAAGAGTTGAATGGTTTCGAGAATATAAACTTACCTCCACAAAAAGAAAGGAAAGAATAAAAAAAGGACTTGACTTTAAAATAAACATCCTTCCAGCTTGTAAATCTTTATCTTGAGTAGTGGGTAGAAGAAATTGTTATACAACGGTGATATGATAAAGGGCTGTGTATGTAACTATCCCATACTGAAACATTTTGATAAACTACTAATACGTGATTTTAAAAATACATAACATGGTTTGATTTGACGCATATTAAATATATTTATCAGTATCTTCACTGATTTACAATTTTCAATTGCAATAAGTAAATAATGTACATGTACTTTATGACAGTATATATAGAATAGATAGAAAAATGTAGAAATGACAATAATATCTCCCATACTAATCTGTAAGACAAATATCCTATCTTATCATGCAGGGATGTCGTTTATTTGTGTATAAAGAAAAAAAATTTCCAGCCAGAGGTTTCACAGAAAACTATAATACTTATAAAAAGTTTCTATAAATTCTTTAAAAATGTCTTTTTTTTAATTTAAACGTGATTTTTAAATCTACAAATCTGATGAACCTTTGTATATAGTAAAATCCTTCAGTAGAAATAATCAATTCTCATATTGAATAGTTATATTTTGTATAATAGATTACCCCAAATTATCTTTCAACATAACCTATTTGATTAAGCTACATAAATCAGTCCAGCGAAATCAAATAAATGAAAGTTATCACCTTATCGCATTTAAAGTTATAATAATACGTAACAAGCTGATAAACTGTTAACATAAAATATTATTGTAAAGGTTGTCGTCTCACTGCCATTGTAAAACTTGCATATGTTACAAAAACCATGATACCACTAGTTGGTGAAGAACTAACCCAATAACCATACTACTGGTGGAAATCTAACATAAAAACCATACCACTAGTGGAGAACTAACAAAATAGCCATACCACAGGTGGAGAACTTACACAACAACAATACCACTGGTGGAAATTTAACATAAAAACCATAACACTGGTGGAGAACTAACACAATGACCATACCACTGATGGAGAACTGACACAATAACCATACTACAAGTGAAGATTTAACACATAACCATACCAATGGTGGAGAACTAACACAATAACCATACCACTGATGGAGAACTAACACAACAACCATACCACTGGTGGAAATCTTACACAACAACCATACAACTGGTGAAGAACTAACACAATAATTATACCACTGGTGGAGAACTAACACAACAACCATATAACTGGTTAAGATGTAACACAACAACCATACCATTTGTGAAGATCTTACATAATAACCATACTACTGGTGGAGAACACAACAACCATACCACTGATGGTTAACTAACACAATAATCATACCACTGGTGGAGATCTAACACAAAACCATACCACTGGTGAAGATGTAACACAACAACCATACCACTGGTGGATAACTAACACAACAACCATACCACTGGTGGTGATCTAACACAACAATCATACCACTGGTGGAGAACTAACACAACAACCATGTATACCACTGGTGGAGAACTAACACAATAACCATACCACTGGTGAAGAACTAACACAACAACCATACCACTGGTGGATAACTAACACAACTACCATACCACCAGTGGAGATCTAACACAATAACCATACCACTGGTGGTGATCTAACACAACAACCATACCACTGGTGGAGATCTAACACAACTACCATACCACTGGTGGTGATTTAACACATCAACCATACCACTGGTGGTGATCTAACACAATTCATACCACTGGTGGTGGAGAACTAACACAATAACCATACCAACGGTGGAGAACTAACACAACAACCATACCACTGGGGGAGATATAACACGATAACCATACCACTTGTTGAGAAGTTATACAACAACCATACCACTGGTGAAGATGTAACACAACAACCATACTACTGGTGGAGATCTAACACAATAACCATACCACTGGTGGAAATCTAACACAACAACCATACAACTGGGAGAGATATAACACAACCATACCATTGATGAAGAACTAACACAACAATCATACCACTGGTTGAGAACTAACATAACAACCAAACTTTTGGTGGAGAACTAAAACAACCATGTATACCACTGATGGAAAACTAACACAACCATGTATACCACTGATGGAAAACTAACACAACCATGTATACCACTGGTGGAAAACTAACACATTAACCATACCACAATTGAAGATCTAATAAAATAACCATGATACCACTTGTAAAGAACTAATACAACAGACCATACCACTAGTGGATATCTAAGACAACCATAACACTGGAGGTCTAACTGGACTAAAAATTATATCTCTAGAGATCTGAGTTTTGAGTTGCCCAAAATAAGAGATACATTGAACATCTGTTCATCTACAACCTGAGGAATGTTCTTGCTACTTTATTATTGGCCACTGGGGTAATAAAATATTTTCAAATGACTACCCATCTTCTTCTCTGCAAAATCTGAAGATTTGTGTTAAATAAAAATGAACACAGTGACTTTCTTTCTTAGGACTTGTTTATTGTTTCTGAACACAAGAAGGTAAAGTGAAAGTAGAAACAATGCAAAATATTAATCTAAATTATATGGTGTAAAAACATCGGAAGTGTTGTTTACTCTTTATTAACTGCACTGATTTCAAAACTACTAATTAAATAAATGTTTTCATTCCATGTCAACATTTTTTAAAAACAATTTACAAGTTTAAACAACATTTCACATAATGATACATGTATTTCCATATTTCAGAAAAAAACTTATAATAAAAAGATCTTTATAAAATGTTTTGATACAAAAGTTCTTTTAAATACAATGCAATGATATTGCATGAAGGCATTGTGAACCATCTGAAAAGTTTGTAAAATCATTAACCACTGGTTTTGAAATTTCCAATTTACACACACCATGCGAATCTCACGTCGTTGCCATAGTTTCTAAGTCATATGTCCATATAACAACTTCTATGATGTCTTTAATGATGTCATCTGTGATGTCATCAGTGAGGACCTAAAAATAGATTTTAGAAAAAGGTAAGCTTTACTATGAGTCTTAATTAGAAGAAAGGAAGAACACACTTACATGTAATACACTTCTACATTGTATTCTACAACTGGCAAAAAAAAAAATTCAGTCTGCAAAAAAATTTATCTCTAGAGCTATCATCCTCACAATGCCAGAGGTCCCAAGTCAACATGTTGCTGTGGGACCCATTGCAAATTTCATTCAATAGTTCATGGGCTGACTGTAGTGATATTTTTTGGAAAAATTACAAATCTTGATTGTTTATCTTATCTGTCAAGCAATCACAATAGGCCATTCTATGTTAAACAACTTGTAATATGTGCATCTGTGGTGTCAACTGAATCCTTTCTTTTTACATTATCTAACTATTTATGAATTTCAAAGCTTTAAATTGATTGAAGCTTTTTAATGAGAGAAACGAGCCATAAAATTTCAAATGAAATTTGCCAGGATTCTGCATCCTGTTGACTCAGGACCCCTGGCACGAGTTATGAGCTTCTGATGTAAAAAAAAAAAAACAAAACAAAAAAAAAACAAAACAAAAAACTTCATGTACACAGATTATGATATTATTTTTCTATCTCGGAAGGTCACTATCTTTCAGTCCAGGAAAGGTCATTCTCAAAGTCTGATACTGCTAACAACACTACCTCCCTTTGAACTATGAATAGATTTGACCAAAAAGCAAGAGGCCCACGGGCCTTATAGGTCACCTGAGTACAGTGCAACAACTTTCAAATAATTAAATTTGGTTTGTGTTTTAAACCAGGGGCCATGAAATTCGCAATTCACAATTTTGAAAGAGGCACCATTGCTTATCATAATTATAGGCTTAGCATGCTTACTCTATTTACTTAATACCCAGAGGTAGATCAGAGTAAGATTAAGAGAAAATGCACTTGCACTTTATAACCAGTTGTGCACCTCATCCCAAAGGAACCACTGATCCTGGGGCCACATATTTCAAAATTTTGCAAATTTTATCATAAAATTGTTGATTAATACCAAAGAGCAGATTTCAAAGCATTAATTTATTTTCAGACTTTGTACCCCCTCCCCCTCACCTCCGACCCAGGGAGGGGGGGGGCATAAAAAATAACCATTTTGCTAGTATTAAATATATATTGGCATAAAACCCAGGACCAAAGGAAAGATTTTCAAAGAATTAATGTATTTTCACTACATAATCAATAGAGCCCCACCCTAACACCAGAACCCCTGACCCTGGGGCCGTAAAATTCACAATTTTTGAAGAGGCACTCTTGCTCATCATAACTATGTACTAAGTTTATTCAATACTTAGCAGAGAAGAAGATTTTCAAAGAAATCATGCATTTTCACTATATGATCAATAGAGCCCCGCCCTAACATCATAACCCCTGACCCTGGGGCCATAAAATTCACAATTTTGGAAGAGGC